AAACTGACCGTAAAATGTTTACAAAAGTTCTAGGTCCCCTAGATCCCTTGGGCTGTTCTTAGTCCCCTCACCCTGAAACTCGCGTATAGGTGAATTAATGAGTGAATGAATGAATGAATATAAGGATGGATGAATAAATTAATTAAACGGAACCTCTGGAATCAGATCTAATGGAGAAAGAAGGTAAGTGATCCAAAAAAGAACCAGAGCGATTATTCTTAATTGGAACGCGAAGTTTATTCCGTCATCTGAAATATGAAAACAAAATTAAAGCTATTATAATTATAAACATTATTTACTATCTTTACATCACGCAATATGCCACAACAGGCTTTAGTCGAGAATCGAACTTAAAGATGGTTTTAATAATGACACCTTACACAAGCGCTTAAAAGAAAATGGTACCTAAACAAAACGGACCCTTAAACAAAATGGCGCCCTGAACAATATGGCGCCTTTTAACAATATGGAACCTCAAACAATATGAAGCCTTAAACAATATGAAGTCTTGAACAATATGGAGTCTTAAACAATATGGCGCCTTAAACTATATGTCACATAAAACAAAATGGTGCCCTAAAAAACTTAGCGCCTTATTCAAAATGACGCCATGAACAAAATGGGACCGAAAACAAAAAGACTGCACACGTGGTTTTACCTCCATCAAAGAATCGTAGAACAAGATGGCGGAGAAGAGTTGGCACATCACGGATTATTTCCAGAATTGATCTTGGCTCTCCTGAAAACAAAAAAATACGATAATTGAATATGATTATGTTGATGAAGACTTTTGATGATAGTGATGATAATGATGATAATGATGATAATGATGATAATGATGATAATGATGATAATGATGATAATGATGATAATGATGATAATGATGATAATTATGATAATAATGATAATTATGATAATTATAATAATGATGATGATGATGAGGATGGTAATGATGGAAATAATGATGATAATGATGATGATGATGAGGATGGTAATGATGGAAATAATGATGATAATGATGATGATGATGATGATAATAATGATAATGATGATGATGAATTTACACTGATCGATGAAATTGATTTTGATGATAGTACTGATGATTATAAATATAATGATGAAACGTTAAGAACAATATGACAATGATGTATAGAAAATGAACACAGACAATGACAATGAAAATTATACTAAAAGTGACATTGACAATGAAAATTATAATAAAAGTGACATTGACAATGACTTTAACATGACGATTTAAAAAGGACAATTGAGTCATAACATTGATCATTGCAAAGACAATGACAATGGCATTGACAAAATAAAAAATAATAATAAAAATACCTGAATGGCGTTTATTATAAGCGTAAATATGTTCCAAAACTTTATTCCTTATCTCTACGTCTCCAGGTTCAGCAGCTGTTCTTTCCTCTGTTAAATCAACATTTTTAGATTAATGCAGAGAAAGAATCTTTTCCCTTTTTTAAATTTGTTGGAGGTAAAAATTCAATAATTTTATTACTGGGTGCTTTTGTTACATTTCCAGATTTCTGAAAATATTTAATCATTTCAAGAAGCAAGATCTTGATAAAAATTAGATTGAATCAACCCAATTATGAAATTTTTATTACTCAACACTCAATTTTAATCCCAATTCTTTTCCAAATTCAATGACTTTTAAAATCAAACAAATCGAAATTCATTGAAAATTACCAATTTATTTAAGCTTTAATCACATTTTTAATCAAAAATCCCCTCCTAATTTCAAATCCAAATTTGAAAAAATGATTCCTTGACTGAAGTAAGACAAGAGAAGAGTAATTCTTTGCCGACAATAAGGGCAGGTGATGGCGGACAGTTGAGAACTTCTCCGCCAAACCTTAAAAAACATTCGCCATATATGTAAAATGTATGTACACTATAACAGTTAGTCTACACTATGTGCTTTGTATGCAATGTGTACGTTATGTACGCTATGTGTACGTTTGTTATACAGATCACGCTTCGTACTTAAGTCTGTACTGCATCTCTGTTCTACTAGTATTCACTATTCAGCCCTGTTTTCAAGACGGAGAGTAGGAAGCTGGAAACCTGTTTTTTCGCCGACAAATTGTTTGTACCGCGCATGCGCAGCTTAACTCATGTGTGTTTTCTCAGTTTTATTCCGTCAGTAACTTAAAGTAATTTACTGTGTTAGTTTTCGATGATTTATCGTGCTTTTTTGGAGGACTAATGTGGTAAATATCCTTTTTAATATATTTAGAATTGTTTTGTGCTATTGTATGCTCATTGTCACGCATTTTCAAGTTATAGACGGAGTTTTTTTAATGCCTGCCTGATCTATGTATTGATTGGATGATAGTTGATCATATTTTCTCGAAGCTTTTTCTGTAGTCTACATAAAGTATTTTTCTCAGATTATAGGTCTGTGCATCAATAAAGATTGAAGCTATTCTGGTTTGATTCATTATGAGGAGAAACGAGAGTAAAGGATCTTACAATCAGGCTCAACGAAATACAGCACGGTAGTTGTCTATATATATCTTGAAGTCTTTAGAAAAATCGCGGGATTGCGTAACAACGTTATATTTATTGTTGCTATGTACCATACCTCTAATATACAGTTTCCACAGTAGCTGTGTCCACAGTTAGTTTGAACTGCAAACCTAGTTTCTGATAAACAGATAGCACAGTCGTCAGTAATAGTTCTCGTAGGTCCTAGATAGATAGATAGATAGATAGATAGCACAGTCGTCAGTACTAGTTCTCGTAGGTCCTAGATAGATAGACAGATATATAATATCAGAAAGAACAGTCGTCTTTACTAGTTCTTGAGGGCTCTAAGTATAAATACATAGATAGACAGGTAGATAAAATCAAATATAACAGTCGTCTTTACTAGTTCTTGTATGTCCTAGATAGATAGATAGGTAGATCAAACTCATATTCAGTTAATCTTTGGTCGAGTTAAAGCAAGGTATCACATTTGAAATCTGTAATTATTTGTTTTTGTTTATATATTGTTACTTTTATCTTTTAATTCTTTTAAATTTTAATTCTTAAACATTTATTATTCAAATTTCTTATTTTGTATGTATTTTAGAATATGCCCTGAAGATGGTTAAATAAACCGAAAATTTGGCAAAAAGAGTTTTTGTTTCACGGATCTGAGAGTGTTAGATTTAGAAGAATTGTAGATAGGTAGATAGATAGATAGATAGTTAGATAGATAGATAGATAGATGGATAGATAGATAGATAGATAGTTAGATAGATAGATAGATAGATAGATAGATAGATAGATAAACAGATAGAACAGTCGCCAGTAATAGCTGTATGCTCTAGATAGTAGATAGATAGATAAATAGATAAATAGAGAGATAGTGAAGTATATTGAAAGGTTGTACAGTCTTCTGTAATAGATCTTGTAGATCCTAGATAGATATATATGTAGATAGGTAGAATTAGAAGGAAAGATAGATAGATAGATATATATATGTAGATAGGTAGGTTTGTAGGTTGGTAGGTAGGTAGAAAGCAAGAAAGAAAGTAAGAAAAAAAGATAAATAGATATATTTGTAGATAGGTAGGTAGGTAGGTAGGTAGAAAGAAAGTAAGTAAGAAAAAAAGATAGATAGATATATATGTAGATAGATAGGTAGGTAGGTAGGTAGGTAGGTAGGTAGGTAGGTAGGTAGGTAGGTAGGTAGGTAGGTAGAAAAAAAGAAAGAAAGAAAGAAAAAAAGATAGATATATATATATGTAGATAGGTAGGTAGGTAGGTAGGTAGGTAGAAAGAAAGAAAGATAGATAGATAGATCAGCCTTTTATTCCACATTGAGAGCATATTCATTTTTAGCGGAGTCAAAAAAACATTTATAGATTAGATAATACGAAATTGAAATTAGAATTCTAGAGAGATTATTTTAACATTTATTTTTGAATTTCAATTTTAATTCTAAAGAGATATATAAGATAAAGACAAAAATTTCCTGTATTCAGCGAGATAAATATAATATATTTTACCGTTAGGGTCCAAATTTGTTCGCGTATTCTCCTAAACAGTAAATAAAATTTACAAGAGTGAAATTTATAAAAGTTGATGTTTGATTATATACAGGGTTACCCATAAAGGTTGATACTTCAAAGACGACTGTACGGAATTTATACCGTCTGTTTCGTTATATTTACGATTCTCCGCCACTGTAAACTTGTTTCTGTCTTGTAAATCATATAAAAAGCTATTCAAAGACTATAATCGTCGTATTTTATAGTTTTAGGTCGTCTTTGCAGTCTCATTCCTTGTGGGTTACCCTGTATATATAATTATATACACTCAAAGGTTCCAAAAGCACAATTCAGGTTACTCGATCAATGACAATAATGAGATGTTATAAATTTAAATATTTTAGTTAAGCCAAATATTAGCTCCGTTTAGTAATTGTTAGCTCAATTTTACAAACAGTGTAGCCGAGCTTAAAAGTTGATGGCTGAGGTTAACAGATTGATAGCTGAGTTTAACAAGTTTTATATGTCATTAACTGAGTTTAACAAATGTTTAACTAGAACATTATTAGTTAAAATGATATCAAACAGTTAAAACTTTCAGATAAATCTTTGTTAATTATTTCTAATAATGTGTTTGTGTTAGATATTCTTTTCGTCATTTCTAACAATATCTAGACTAAAAATTTTTAAAAAATGTTCTTTAAAAATCGGGTTATAAAATTTGTTGTTTAATCCTCGTTTTAGATAAAATTCCATGGGCAACGCCAGACACTTGAGCTAGTAAGGTTTTATTTCAGTTTTCGTACCTGTGAATTAGTAGCTAGGAAGGATAAAGATTGATAAAGGAAATAGCAAAGGACTAGTGTTACTCCTGTCAAACAAACCACAACCTATAATCACGTTAAACTAGAGTAAATTTTGCTCCAGAAGAGATGGTGCTTCTCTGGACAGGGGTATTTTGGTCCACTAGCAACTTTCCTAGAAGTTTTTGTACTTAATAGGCAGGTTTAGTCTAGAAAAATATTCAAGGGGCCAAAAAACTTAACTTTTATGAAATTAACACATTTTTATTTAAAAATTGGGTTTTACATGAAAAATGATTGTAAAATGTGAGGAATTTTAAACAAAAATATATTGATTGTAATTATTTAAGATTTCCCAATCGTAATCACTTATATTTTAAATGTAAGAAGAACTTTTAAATTTACTGTCCTCCTTACACCAAATCCGTAAACCATGTACTCGCGCACATCCTTAAAATCCAAGGAAGTACAGGGTGTCACAATAAACATGAGAATTGAGAGACGACTTGAAAGTCGTCTTGGATTTTTGATATTTAATGCATGGCAAAAAAATGAAGAAAATGAGGCAGTACGTCTTAAAAATTGACGAAGATATTAGATATTCGGACAATTTTAATTTATTAAATAAATTGAAATTTTCACAAATTTGCAATATCTCCAATAATTTTGAATATACATAAATAGTAGACAACATTTTAAAAATCTCAAGGCCAGGCGTTTTCGACGATATATTTGTAATTGTGTTCATGAAAAAATGCCGCATGGATCGGAGACGATTAAAAGAGTCGTCACTGGTTTTCCGATTCCCATGTTTGGTAAATTGAAAGGATTTCACTGTACAGTGGATTTTGAATGCAAATAAAAAGGTAATAATATTAAGCATTTACTTTGAAAATTCGAAAATGGAGATCTTATCTTAGCTCATAAAAATTTTTTTAATACGTGTTTTAATAACCATAATAAAATTTTTTTTCAAGTACTTCTACAGTCAAGGAAATTTAAAATTACAAAAATGTTGTGCCCAAATATTGCATGTCATCAAATAACTCGGAAGAAAAAGCTTTTTAAATTCTTTTCATCAGCCAAACAAGTTTGCTTTCCTGAATCAAAATCAAAACCAGTGTCGTAACTTCAGTTCTCAGTCTCATTATTTTATAAGCTAATACTTAAAATAGCACTTAAAAATACATTTTCATGTATAAAAATGTGATTTTATTTTTTATATTAAAACTTACCTCGTCACCTAAGCCCTCTATTTCAAACATTTTAGAAAACAAAATTAATGATAATTTTTATTTCATTACTTTACTTTGGTAATCTGAAATTTAGACAATAATATTATAAATTTAAAATTCCATGTTGAGACAAAATTATGCATAAAAACGAGTTAAATAATTCTTTACCCTTTTAATCAAATATTATCGTTGTTTAAGAACGTTTTCTAAATCTTGAAATAATACATAAATGTTTGATTATGCTTGCATACTGTGTTTAGAGACCATGAGAGTGAAAAATAATCTCTGCTGATCTCCTAAATAAATTCACGAATAAACTTAATACATTTAAAATCACATTATTCAATTAGTTAATTTTAAAATAAATATCACTTTAAACTAAATCAACATTTAATACACAGCACAGCAGGTCTTTTAGGACTCAGAACAGTTCTGTACAGGCTCTCAAACAGGATCTTGTAGGACCTCTAAATGGGTCATTAGAGAACCTCTAATAGGATCTTGCAGGACCCAAAACAAAAACTTGAAGGACCCCGAACGATACCCAAGGAACCCAAATGGAACATTAAAGACCCCAAATGGGCCATACCACGAATTAGCCCTTGGGCTTTGGCCCTTGAGCAAACCCCAAACAGCACTTTGTAAAGACCAAACAGAACCTTGATGTACACCAAACAAGGCTATTTAAGATTTTGCAGTTAACAGGACAATTTAGGACCAAATACAGGACTTTTCAGAACCCTAAAAGGAGCTTTTAAGAATATAAATAGGTGACAATCATATCAATTTAAACGTGCAAGTGACTAGGCAAGTGTTTGGTTGGGAAGTGTTAGCTGAATTGGTGAAGTGTCGATACATATTTATTTTTATGCAAGGGAATTATGAAAGCAGCTAAATGGATTAGTAGTTCGGATCAAGTTAGGACTCTTTTTTATATAAGATGTCAGAAAAATTTTTGTTTCTAACCCAATAAATTTTTCTTAAATACTAATCCTAACACAATTTTACATTTTTTAGTTTGAAGTGCAAATTTAGTCTTTATTAAATAATAAACTTGTGGGCTCTTGTGTAAATATTTTGATAAGACATAAATGAAAGCAATACATATACATAAAGTGAATCGATTTAACATTTAAACATTTTCTTTAATTTTAGGGATTTCATTTTCTTCTGGTTTGATTGACGATTAATTAATCAGTAGATCAGGTAATTAGTGGATCAATTGATTAGATTAGTTGATTAGAATACCAGTAGATCTGTTGACCAGTTGAACAGTAGACCATGAAGATCAAGTAGATCAAATAGATCAGTAGATCAGTATATCAGTAGATCAAGTAGATTAAGTAGATCCAGTAGATCAAGTAGATATTAAGTAGATCTAGTAGATCAAGTTACTCAAGTAGATCACGTAGATCTGTAGATCAGTAAATAAAGTAGATCAAGTAGGTCAGTAAATCAGTAGATCAAGTAGATCAAGTAGATCAGTAGATCAAGTGGATCAAGTAGATCAGTAGATCAGTAGATCAATAGATCAGTAGATCAGTAGATCAAGAAGATCCAGTAGACCAGTAGATTAGTAGATCAAGTAGATCAGTAGATCAAGTGGATCAAAAAGATCAGTAGATCAGTAGATCAAGTGGATCAAGTAGATCAGTAGATTTGTAGATAAAGTAGATTAAGTAGATCAAGTACATAAAGTAGATCAAGTGGATCAAGTAGACCAAATAGATCAAGAAGATGAAGTAGACGAAGTAGATCAAGTAGATCAAGTAGATCAAGTAGATCAAGTAGATCAAGTAGATCAAGTAGACCAAGTAGATGAAGTAGATCAAGTAGATCAAGTAGATCAAATATCTATGGAGCAAGTTCTAGCAATGTGTTGACTGTAACTTCTTTGTCTCCAAGGTTGGTTGAGTATATCTCCTGAAAAAAAGATCAAATGTCAGAATAAAGGATCTAAAACAAAGATCAAAATGAAAGATCACAAAATATGGATCAAATGTCAAAGCATAAAGAGATGAAAGTTAAACTGATCAAAGATGGAGAATATAAGGTTTTAGAAATGTTAAAGACATCTCGTAAACGGAATAAAAAAATATAAGATAAAGATACAGAAATCAAAGATTATCGAAAAAATCAGTTTAAATATAGATTGAATTAACTTTCGTAAAAAATATCCAGAATGGTTTTATCTAAAGGATAGATTTCATACTTAAGAAGCTATATCACTGAGAAGAAACACTAAAACTTGTTATAGAATTATCTATGAAGTGTTAGGTAAGTATTCGTCTTTACCTTAATTAAAGATTTCTCTACGCCAGGAAACATTCTGGAGAATTCTTCAACATCTTCCTCCGACATCACAGGTGGAGCAGGCTTAAAAATAACAATAATAATCATAAAAAAAATATTAACATAATAATAATAACAATTATAATGATGATAATGATGATAATAATGATTGTTGATGACAATGATGACAATTATGACAATGATGACAATGATGTTAATGATGATAATGATGATAATGATGATAATGATGATAATGATGACAATGATGTTAATTATGATAATGATGATAATGATGATAATGATGATATTGATGATAATGATAATGCTCATGATGATACTAATGTTGGTTCTAATGATGATAATAATGATAATGATTATACTCTGCTGTACTGTACCTGTTGTACTGGTAAGTGTGTTGGAGTGTAATGCATAGGTTTCCCTCCACTAACATTAGGTACAACCAGAGGAACTTGGGGACCAGGGAACCCAGGACCAACTACTGAACCCTGCAAATTCATTTATTCATGGCAAAAAGTATTTTCTAATTTGAACAGTACTATTTAATCATTCGTCTGCGTAATAATAAGGAAAATATTTTTGTTTTCTACTTTTTAAAACTTTATTTCTTGATTCTGCTGATTTTTTTTGAGACAATTTCATAGCAAAACCGCAATTTTAAAATATTTACTTTTAGATAATAAAACAAGGATATCGTTATCATTTTTCAAACTGAGGTTTATAAGGTACTGTTGTGAATCCTGTATGTAACTATTTTAAATGGAGGTACACTTGAAATAACGACAAATTAAAGAAAAATATTAAATTGATGGATTTGATCCCAATTATTTACGTCTCAATCTCATGTAATTTGAATAACCTCCCAAGTTGAGAAGATTTGTGTAGACTTACTTAAACTCTACGGCCTATATTATTAATACTAGCTCCCCAAGTGACGATCAATGCATTAAAAGTCTAGTATTTACATTTTATAATATAACAATAAAACTGATCGATCATCGTTCCACAGAAGTCATGGTTAAACTCTCATCAAATCCTGAACTTTGTTCGTGTCAACTTACCGGTTGAATTTTTTGCATGCTGAGAATAAGATGCAGCATTCCTTCCTTCCCATCCCCTTCCTGTCCACTCAACGGCCACCAGTCATCAGACAGCTCTCCCTTCTCCAGTACACTGTCAGGGATCCGTAGCGAGGCATGTGCGATTAAAGTATCTGAATTATAAATACTTCTAATAAGAACGGTAAGGTGACCCTCCATGCAAAGATGGCAATGTTTTGTCTTATCAAAGAAGAAGTAGATATCATTGGTCATAATTTTGAAAACTTATTTTTTTTTAATTGTTGGTTCTCTACAAAAGTGACTTGAGCTGTTCTACTGCAGGAAAAACAGGAATTATCAGAATTAAAGAAATTTAAATCTAGAAAAAAGAACTATATCTTCCACATTTTTGATCAGATAAAGTGTTTGAGGGTACCGTTATGAACCAGGCATTGCCATCTTTGCATGGAGGTGGGAGAGTCACTTGAAACTACGCTTACACTTTACAGAAATTACATTAAGGTTAGATTGTAGTTGTTCTGGCTTAATTATTTAATCTATATCAGATTGGACAAACTTTAGTCTTGAGGCACTTGGATGGTAAATTGAAGAAAAAATACAGTAAACAATACAGATTTCAGGGTCCACAACATGCAGGTAGTACAGTACAAAATAAACAATTGAAAATACACAGTACAAAATAGACAACAGACAGTACCCAGTGCAGAGTACACGATGGGCAGTACATAGTACAAAGTAAGCAATCGAGTATACACTGGGCAGTGAGCAGTATTGAGTACCAATAGACAGTACACAGCAAAGAGTACACAATGGACAATAATAAGTACATACTATAAGGTACTATACCTGTGGAGAAAGTACACTCGTCGTAAATCTCGACATCAAGGAATTTAGTTCCAGGCATTGTCATACAGTTCACAGTTTTGTTCCATTTAGGCTCCCTAAACAAACACAATAAGTTATAACCAACGTCGTCGTATATATCAACAACATGAAGACGACTTTTGAGTTCAATTCTGATTTTAGTCAGCACTATGCTCAACACTTTAGAATGATATATCCTTAATCCTGAGAACAGTCAATAGAATGCTTCCTAAGTAAATGTCGCCTTTTTAATTATGATTGAGAAAATATTTATATTTGATGTCCTAGCTATTTATTATTTATTCATTTATGATATAAAATTAATATCGGTATTAAATCGAAGAGATACTCACAGATCTCGTGATCTTGATATCCAAAGTGGACACTTTCAATTTGAGGATCAATGCGTAATCTCTTCATTTTACTTAATCCTGCAGGGTACGCTAACCAGGCGGGATATAGAACAAATATAAAATATACATGTAGCAAATAGTGTAAACATGATATACTGGAAACCTCCAGTACATTGTACATTATTAACAATTTATGTTGAAGACTATACATAATAACATTATTTATTGAAACTGCGTTTCAATTGAATACGTAGCATGATTAGATTAAATCATGTGATATACGTAAATTGCGCTATAAATATGTGTGGAGATAGCTAAACTGCGTTATATCTATTATCGCTAATCTTATAAATACGTACATTAAACTTTCTTGACCTGTGCGATTAATACGTAATATGATTATCTTAATCATGTGATATAGGTACAAGGTAGGAAATGTAATTACATCAATTCACGTAAACTTGTGACATAAGATATTTAAATAAAGTCAGTTCATAGAATAACTTCATACTGTTTACTGCGTGAGAGTAAACCTGAAGCCCTGTTTTAATAAGCAGGTCGGATTGTCCCCATCATTTGGAATCGATATATATAGCTTGTTAATAGCTATTGATATCTAATTAGATAAGATAAGATAAGATAAGATAAAGTTTATTGCTAAAATACATGTATCTGTATACAGAACGAGTTTACAATTACAAATTGATTATTATATTAACAGTACAAGTATAAAGCAATCAGGTGGAAAATAGCTCTTGGCTGTTTTGATTATTTTTCCCGCTTAATTTCAATAATGATAACAACACATTTCAATTAAATAGATTACAGGAGAACTATTAGAGATCAGGGTGCGATTTTATCTTATGCAAAATAGTTTATACATTAATTAGTATATCATATCATCATATCATACAGCTAGGGATGCGTCCAACAGCTCCTTGACCTACAAGGGGTATGCCATCACAATCCCCTATAGGTGAAGGCTTTTCAGCCTGACATAATTTAAATCCTAACGTCGGACACACGACCAAATTTGAGCCATGTCACCGGTCTGATTCCTTTTGTCAGCTAGTTGCCAAACAGTTGTATTAAATACATATTTAAATGCTGACATAGAGAATCTCCCTCCCGGTTAACTGAGTGTTTAAAAAGGGTATTCAGGAGTTGAAACGAATAATTTTAAAATGAATTGATAAATTAGCTTATAATAAGTTATTGAGCTATAGAGAAGTGAGTTTAACGTAATTTTCTGACATGTACACAACAAATATCAAAGCATATTAAAACATATCAATTAGTTTTACATGAATTGATACTTGATCAGACAACACTTTAAATTAAATCAGATTTTGCCATGGAGTGTCACTTCAAATTGCGCTTACAGTCCCTGAAACACATAAATATGAAAATTATTTGAATAATCCCTGACCTAGCTCCATTAGTACAGGTTGGAGTTTCATAAATCTGATGTCCTACACGTATTCTGGCATATGGGTCCATTCTGGTCACACCATAGTTCTGATCATTGCTCACAATTCAAATATTCCTCTAAAATGTATGGTTGGCTAAAATGAAAGGGAATGTTGGCTAAAATTAAAGTGAATGTTGGCAAAGATTAAAGGGAATGTTGGCTAAAATTGAAGGGAATGATTGCTAAAATTAAAGGGAATGTTTGCTAAAATTTAAAGGAATGTTGGCTAAAATTAAAGGGAATGTTGGCAAAAATTGAAGGGAATGTTGGCTAATATGAAAGGGATGTGTTGGCCAAAATGAATGGTGGTGTGCGCTAAAAATAAACGAGCGTGTTGGCTTTTACAAAAGTGAGTGTTGGCTAGAATGAAAGAAAACTTTACACGAAATGAAAGGAATGTTGGCTAAAATGAAAGAAATGACAGCTAAAATTAAAGGAGGTCGACTTAGCTAAAAATGAACAGTATTTTTTTTAATAAAAGGGAATGTTGGTTATAAGGAAAGGGAATGTTCACTAAATTAATAGGGAGTGATGGCAATTAATTTAAAGGGGTATATGAAAATAAGAGAGTTCAGTGATTCTTCAGTTATACATTCATATACACTCCTCGGGGACAAGACAAATGTTCATGTTAATTTTTTATTGATATTGTATCTCCCTTTGATAATTTAGCTTCCACAACAGTTATGGTAAGACGTCCAGTTGCTCGGCTAGTATCCAGTCCCTAGAATATTATCATTGTTTTGGATTTCCAGCTTTTTCTTTTTGTGGATATTTTTGTAGTGGTTTATTATTCAATAATTGTCTGAAATATATCTTGAGTTATCTAATAATTGAGGTTTTTTAACATGTTACTAAATGCGCGCCCCTAATAGGTGTTTTACTAAATACTCTCAAAGTAGCATAATTACCATTTGGTTTAACGTATACAAGGAAGTAACGTAAAAAATAATTACACTTTTTTCCCTTTCCTACAGGAGAGATTTTAGTGTTGTAAATACAAATATCTATTATCTAGAAAACAAAATTGAAATGATTGTTAAATTTCATGTTAATGTGGTATTTTGAAATATTCCAAAACCCACGGATAACTAATAATCTTTAAAATTTAAAGGATATTTTCAAAAACTAGTATCTAAAAAAAATTTGAGCAAACATATTCTAGGAAAAAAAGGAAAGAATAATTAATTACCCCTGCTGCCTGTATAATCTGCCCCTGTCCCTGCTGCTGTTCTTGTAAATTTAATTGTCTCTGAAGAGCTAAGGCCATTTCCCGATCTCTCTCCTCTTCAGACAATGGCTGCTCATCCACTTTAACAAAACATAACAGCTAAAACCTTGTATTTTTACACTTTACAGCAGGCGCGTAGTGGAGGTTTAGGCTAGGGGGGTACATGTCTAGGGGGGGCCCCCCCTCCACTACGTGCCTGTTTTACAGTCATACTTACTGGACAAATTAGAGACGACCTTAAAAATCGCCTTTAATCTTCGAATGATTTCGTTCAGAAAAAGATAATTTTGATTTATTTAATAAATTGAAATCTTAACGAAGTTCTTTATATCTCTGGTAATTTTAAAAACACAAAAAAATGCTATATGTTATAACGTGATTATTTTTTGTAATTATAAGATTGAAAAATAAATGCTGCCAATTATTTCGAAGAAAAGTCGTCTCAAAACTGTCCAGCAATACCGTTTTTTGTGAATATGATTGTATTGTAATAAATCGTGTTCGTGCTTGATGCGGATTTTGATTTCGAACCTAAAAAATAAATTGGCAACAAAATATTTTTGGCTATGAAGCAATGTTTGGCAATGCTTCAACTTATTTAAAGGGACTGTCCTTGTAAATTTTAGTGAACATCCATTTCAAGGGGACATAAATCATGAAAGTAACCTTCAAGTCTTTATGGGCCTCACTGTGGTGCATACTGCACATCTAGATGCATCTTTAGGGGAGGGGGTGGGGTGATTGGAAGCTTACATGGTATCCTGAGAAAGGTTTCTGGGAGCGGACCCAACATTGCTCTTTTCCTACGCTCTGCTCGTTTTTCCTCGGCACTCATTTTCTCCTTTTCCGACATTTTTTCTGAAAATATAAATTTATTTTGAAATTCAAGATGGCGTCTTTGAGTCATTTCTTCTTCTTTTTCGTGGATTTCTCTTGCACCAGAAGACCCGACTGTTCCAAGACTTGTCTGAAAAAAAATCTCCAAAATATTGCACCTATTAAAGCATTATTTTTTCATTTACCATAATAAATTTTATTAAGAAGTAAGATTGGCTCAAAATTTGTTATTTGCTTTAATTTTACCTTGCAGCGTTATTTATGTGTTTGAACCGATCTGGTCCCAGATGAATCCCTCCATACCATCTAAATACAATTTCTTTAAACTTAAACTCAATCAAAGCATAAGTCTAAGTTAGTAAAGTCAATGCCAGTGCCAGCCTCAATCAATCAATCAATCAATCAACGCCCTGTGACCCCGTACATTGCAATATCAGAACCAGATTTGAAGTGAATTGCAATCAAATCATAAAAAGTTAAAACTTCGGAATTTTGGGAAATTTGTCATATCGCCCCAGCGCCAAGTAAATATGTACCTTGAGACAATAACCAGAATATTTTTGACATCCAGGATCTCCAGGAGATGGAGCATACGTCCTCCAGCAGCAGATTCACCATCATCCTCACAATCCTTTACATTCATATCATCATTATCATACTTTGTCACACTTTTGTGAGTTATCTCTGCGTCATTTCTCATATTTGAATCCGAATTAGTGCACCATCACTTCTAAATAATGCACCATCACTCTGCGTCCTACAGTTCATCCTTCCCAGTGGTTCATCCTTACATAATACATACGTTGTACGCGTAATTTCAATTGACAATCAATGCAAAGATGGCAATGCCCGATTTAAAAACAGAACCCTTGAAACCTTATTTAGATCAAAAATGTCGAATATTTGACTCGGAAAATTTCTCCATTGCTTCTTGTAAGCAAGAAATGCGGAAGTTCCTATAGCAGAGAGAGAGAAATTGAAAATGAAAAAAAAAGTTCAAAAAATTAACTATTTAGCAAAATGTTGCAAAAAAGTGTATTATAGTAAACAATAAACATTGGCCCGTTGTCCGTGGGAATTTCCAGAAATGAAATCACATCTAAATAATTACATTAAGAAAAAATAATTACCTGAAGAATTGAATTTTTATCCTGACAGTGTATTCTGTATGCGTACATATTATGCGTAGCGTTGGCAATCTTCTTGTTCTCGTACAACTATTTGGTCCAACCAGTCAAATTATCTTTATTTTTTAAGGGACTGTTGACTTAGTTTCAAGTGTGTTTATCCATTTTAAAATTTACATTCTCTATCTGCAATGGCATCCTTAAAACCTTTCTATGAGAGACAATGAGAAACATATATCGTCGTTTTTCAGAAGGGGAAAGGACATCTTAGCTATTTGTGAAAAAAAGAAGAAATTGGCAGCTTTTTTCTACATTCCATTGAATTAAATGGAAAATGGAAATAAACTTAATCCACCCTCTCGGTAGTTCTACCCTCCCTGCTGAAAACGAACAACCCTTTTTTGACTGGCTTCCCTTATTTATGACAGCGTGGACCTCTAGCGTTGAAGTTACTACAGCAACATGGCCCTGAAAATATGCATTATTTGAAATTTTCATAAACGAGGTTAGCTTTTGGTGCCATTATCGATTTACAACGGTTGGCGGTGGCCTTTAACCCCTAATATATTATAATAGAACTAAATTACTTTTCCTATTAAAAGATAAAAAAAACTTGCTACCTTTTTTGTAAAACGCCAACGGAAAGTTTCTAGAAGCCTCGAATTCAGTTTACAAAATTTTAATTATGATTACTAAAAACAAATAACATAAGACTGCACAGTGCACACTGCATATAGATGTAAACTGCTAGAATAAGATGCATCAATGTTTCAGACTGGGCCAACTTAGAAGTGTTTCAACGCCTTTCCTTTAGAATTAACCTGTACATTTTAGAACTGTAATACACTTGTTTATGGCAGTAGTTTTATGAATCAGAAATTGGAAAAATCCTTATCAAGTTATGCAATATGCATGAATTTTTCTACCTGAAATATACTTCTTCTATCTTCAAAACATTCTCCAGTAAATATTGTTGGACATACTATTACCACATCTTCACTTGTTGAACTGAAAAGAAAAATATTTTTATCAAAATTATTTTTTTTTAATCATAAAAATGTCAACCATTAGTATTACCATGAATATGAATTTGAACACCAGTTCCGAAATGTCTTTTAGAATAACCACTCTCCAGTATACATAATGAGGATTCAAATCATCAAGATGTATTTAAAAAATAAGGCTAAAATTAAATGTCGTCGTTTTTTTGCGATATTCAATACTATTTTTTCTTTTACCTGTTAATATTAAAACTAGATAATTTATCACAGATTTGTTCCGAATTTACATCATCACTGCTATCCGTACTTGACAACGACTGGGTTCTGAAGAAAATCATCTTAATTAACAACACACAATTTTACCTGGTTTTAAGAAAAATTAGGCTACGATACAGTGGGAGCAACAAAACTGCGGAATAGACGACGACATCGACGTAATCTTATGTGTATTTGAGAAAAACAGTTTTACCGCCAGCTTATCAATTTACTTTTTAAAATAAGAAATAAATAAAACCGTACAAGAACATCTTTTCGAGAAGTATAAACAATAAACATACCCCTGCAAGTTTGTTGAAAGATTCTGAAGAAAAGTCCTGATTTCTTCAACCCACAGGAAGACAAGACATTCTCCTAGATTCTCCAAGTAAACCTGGTCCAGTCTTAAACTTAAGCTTATCCTAGAACAAAACATCAAGGATCAAAGCTTATCTTAGGCTCCTTCTAGAAACATGCATATCTAGGATTCTCCAAGTAAACCTGGTCCAGTCTTGAACTTAAGCTTATCCTAGAAAAAAACATCTAGGATCAAAGCTTATCCTAGGCTTCTCCTAGAAACATGCATATCTAGGATTCTCCAGGTAAACCTAGTCCAGCCTTGAACTCAACTTATCCTAGAAACAGGAATATCTAGGATTCTTCAGGTAAATCTGGTCCAGCTTTGAACTCAAACTTTAGAAACATGAATATCTAAGATTCTCACGGTAAGCCTGGTCCCGCCTTGAACTCAAGTTTATCCTAGAACCAGGAATATCTAGGATTTTCCAGGTAAACCTGGTCCATCCTTGAACTCAACTTTATCCTAGAAACAGGAATATCTAGCTAGGATTCTCCAGGTAAACCTGGTCCAGCCTTGAACTCAACTTATCCTAGAAACAGGAATATCTAGAATTCTCCAGGTAAACCTGGCCCAGCCTTGAACTCAAGTTTATCCTAGAAACAGGAATATCTAGTATTCTTCAGGTAAACCTGGAAACAGAATGTTAAGGATTTTAGCTTATCCTAGAAACAGTTATTTCTAGGATTCAAGCTTATCCTATAAACAGGTATTTCTAGAATTCTTTTGGTATACCTAGAATAGTCCTAAACTAAACCTGAAAACATATTTAAACATTAATTTTCAATCTAAATTAAACACCATTTTATTCCAAAGTATCAAGTTTTTTGAAATGCGTTCATAATTACATAATACTGAGAAATGCTAGTAGCCAATTCAATTGTAGTTTCTCAACAAAGTCACTTGCCCATTTATACAGCAGGAAAACATATAGAAATTAGCAGTGCTAAACACTTTTAAAACCTATAAAAACGGCAATAGCTTCCACAGTATTGATCAGATAAAAGTTTCAAGGGTAGCGTTGTGAATCGGGCATTGCCATCTTTGCATAGAGGATCATTTTAATTTAAAATTACTCCTAGAGTTCGTTAAATTTGAAGCAAAAGATTGATTTTACCTCTGCTCAGAACTGAAGGAAGGAGCTGACAGTGTGTAAGTGGGGGGACTGCGGCTAGGATAACCTGATATCAATCAACGTATCAATCAATCAATCAAGACAATTTATCAATCTATCAATCAAATCAATTTATAAATCAACCAATTAAAAAATTTATCAATCAAAACAATTTATCCATTAAAATTACAAAAGAATAAAAACAATAAAAACAGTTTATCAATCATAGATTTTGAATTTATCAATCAATCAAAAGTAAACCAAAAACCAAAGGAATTAGTAAAATAATTATCAATCAATAAAACAAAACAGATAACCAAAACAAAATGAAAGAGAAACTGTTCGTGCAATGAAAATTGACCTGGACTAAGTAAAATGCTCAAAACTACACTTGGAGTCCCATCCTCTTCAACCTTGACTAAAATAAATAAAATAATTAGTTAAATAGTAAAAGTAACGTATTACTTTATGAAGTAAAATAGTGCGATATAAATATTACATACTTTTATCGCCGCTGAGGATAAGAAAAAAGACCTGAGTATGAATATTCATTTTCAATCTGTACACAGTTTTCATAAATAGAGGTGAGCGCTTCTATCTCTTCAATCTGCCGCGCAGTGTTCTCGGGATCCGCCATCTTTTCATAAAAACAAAATGGCGCCCATTTTTAAATTATCTGAAAGAGTACTTATGGTAAGTAAAATGCTACACTTATCACAGGTTCAAATATTAAAAGTTCAGGTCACAATGAGTACAATTTGACATAAAAAGCATGAAAAAAAAAAAAATACTGCAGACATCAAAATCTTGATCCTCGCAGATGAGGAATACGAATTGGAACATCCGTAACAATCTTCTCTAGCCGGTCACTTAAAAATTAAATCATTAATTTCAGATTCAATATCATCTTAGTGATTGGTCAAAAAAAGAAACAAAATTACAGTTGTAAGGAGACAAAAATGCAAGGAAACTGACAGTATACATTCCGTACGTTCCTCTCTAAATTCTCATTCTTTGTGGTAACTCTGTATTCAACAAAATTAATTTTGAAAAAAAACTTTTTTGCATTTTTAATATTGCATCTCTAGAATTTTAAGAGAGGGGGTAAAAAAAAGGTTTAGAGGGGGATGATAATTTATGGTTATAATTATAGTAATTATAATTACAACAACAATAATACTAATAATCATAATAATAATAATAATAATAATGATAATACTGATCCACAGATACCCTGTGACCCCTGTTACCTGTTTTGAACCTTGATTCGACGGAACAGATTCTTTATCCCCTGGCAGACTGGGCGGGGGTAAACCTGGTTCTTCCCCTCAATCAGGACCAGCTTTAAGCATAACCATCTTATCTCATCCTTCACAATCAATCATCAATCAATAAACTAGTCACTCAATACGGACCAGCTTTGAGTATAACCCTCTGATTTCATCCCGCAAACTCACTCACTCACTCACTCACTCACTCACTCACTCACTCACTCACTCACTCACTCACTCACTCACTCACTCACTCACTCACTCACTCACTCACACAATCAACCAACTTGTCACTCAATATAGACCAGCTCCAGGCATAACCATTAACAGTTAACTCAATCAATCAATCAACAAACTAACCAACCAAAGCAACAAGCTTGTTCCGTGAATTCATTTACAGTTCTATTAAACAAAAGGGATTTACCTTTAAGATGGGAGTGTACCTGGCCACAACATTAAAACGGCGTAAACCTGCCATTAACACTCTCCATATCCAGCTCTCCTTGACAGGAGTACATATAACTTTTAGATTTTACAAAATAACAAAGATATTTTTATTAAAATAACAAAATTTCTCAAAATCATTAGGTTTTATCAAATAATATGTTTCACCTTAACTTGACCTCCTCTGGAAGCTATTAAAACATCCAACAAGCAGGTTAATCTCTTCAGTGCTGGACAAATTATAAGTAAAGACAATTTCTCAACATTCAATTTTTTTATGTAAGACGTAACAAAGAAGGAAATTTTAATCGTCCAACGGTATTTTAACAAATTATTACATTTAAATTATTAATAATTTTAAAGAGCTATGATTAAAAGTAATTTAAGGAGATCACTGTTTTCTTATCATCTATGTGAATTCAAACTTAGCGCTGCACGGATAAGATTAAACAAAATAATTCCCCTCTCAATCTAAAAATAAATTTTTTTTTACGAAATGTTGTGAATAGCAAAAGGTTGTTTAAATAGCAACAGAAAAGCCCAAATAGTCTTAAATTTTGTGTTTTATTTCCTAATGAACAAGCTAAAAAACATTACAACTTACCAATAAATATTATAGCTGCCAGGGAAGTTAGTGATGTGTTAAGTGGATTATTAGTATTAAAATAAAGAGGAACTAAATATCGTCCACAGAAATATTGGAACTTGCTGAACACTGTGGAACCTGTACAATAAATATGTCTTCAGGGATATTTTATAAGTTATGGGTGTCTTTTAAGTATCTTTCTTCATTAAACCTGTGATTGAATGAAATGTACAAAATATGTGATTTACAGCTTATATGACTTGCGGCTTAGTTTTATTCTTATTTTGTAAGTAAATGTGACATTCGGATGCAATCATTCTCTTTCAGAAATAAATTTCAATCCGTTCATCTTCATGTATGTATTTTGATTTATAGTGATAAATTGTTTTAATTTCATATTAGATTGTAGGCTTTCCAATCTTCCTGCATCTCATTGATTTTCCCCCAAAACAACCTGACTTACCTACTGGTTTACATAGTTCAGGCCATTGCATTGCAAAACCAATGTTGGTATTGCTGAAGGAGTCAAGGTTCGGTTCAACGCTTCTAAAAGAGATCAACGTTATGATGTGTTTATTCTTAAAATTAAAAACATTATGAATTACAATTTAATGCTCAATAACCTGCTTTCTATGTTTACATTCGACCCACAGAATGTAAACTGAATGATTGTTGGATCCAGAAGGTTAGACTGGGTTTTCTTAACATTCAGCCTAATTGTTAAAACGTTCAGAAAATTCTAAAAAAAATTATCTCCGATGGATAAAAAATTCTGACTGGAGAAGTCAATATCCATATACAAAATGCTGCGGTAAAATGAAGAGGAGTATAGGCTGAAACCTAAGTATCTCAGGAGTTGATCGAGACCCATGAGAGTTCAATCTAATGTTCCTGATTCGAGAAATTGATATAAAACTGTGACAAATTAATACAAAAATCGGTATATACCAAATTTTGCAGGTTAAACAGATCATATTCAGTAAATACGCAACCAATCTGAAAACGATGACCTCCCAGAGGAGCCTACGTAATTTAGGTTTGTTCCTATTATTATTTGAATATGATAACTTTTCATTTTAATAGATTTAATTGAAAATTATTATAAATAAATATATGTATGATTATTTATACGTCCATATCACGTGACCAGAACTCCCACCAATATGGCAGTGCAGTATTATTGTCACATGTATTTGCTAAATATGATCTGTTTAAACCTACTATTTTTATACAAAAGAACCCGTGTCAAGTAAGACATTTTGTAATATCTCTTTCAATATTAATAGCAGCCGGTTCTATTTTTGAACGTAATTTGACCTTCTAATGACCTCTTACGACCTCTAATGACCTAAATGACCTTCAAAAATGAAATTGTTTTAACTATGGCTTCATGCATATCAAACGATTAACTCCTAAGTAACTTTTAGGTTTTAGCCTATACCTCCTTTCATTAAGAATAAGAAAATTGTCATCATATAAAATAAACTAAAAATCAATGAGTAAGATAAGTTGACTTACCTACAATGATATTCGGGAAATCCTAGGGCAGTCTTATTCAAGAAAGCTTGTGCTCTATCCTTGTTGGTGGAAACAAAAAGAAAATCATCAGCTCCACGCAGAAAAATTTCCTTAAAATTTTATTTCTTTTATTCTTCCACACATTTCTGAATGGACTACGAATTATAAAGTAACCCTACTTACTTTTTCTTTTAATGGAGATCTAATGAATTCAGTTAAACAATGCTGGGTCATATGTCCATAGTAAATATTGGAAAGCAGAGGTGACAACACATCTCCTTGAAGAATCCCCTTTCTCACTAACAATGATGTTTTTTTTAGTTAGAAAATGGCTGACTACCTTCTTGAACTTAGACAATTGACGCAAAAAATATTGATCAGAATAAAAAAAATAATTGTTTAAAATAATTATAAAATTTTACAATCTAAAAATCTCTTTAACCTAGAAACCTCAGGTGGCTTTTACCAACAGGAAACTTAAGAACGTGAAGGAACAGTCTTTGTTGAATTCGTTCAATCTCTTTCTTGTTCTCAGGTGATTTGTACTCCTCTAGACACTCTCATGTCAACATGCTTTCAAGTTTATATTAAGTGAATATGTTGCTTGAGGCAAAAAGCTTTCCAGTTCTGGAGATTTTGTACCTTGTACTTTAAGCATAGTTTAAAAACTTAATAGCATAACAGTGTTCCTAGTATCTGACTCAGTTTTCGTAAATCAATACTTCCATATGCATCTGAGATATCCACAACAACCCAATAGACTGGAACTTCTAAATAAGATATAAAACAAGATGACTTTGCTGTTAAATTCAAGCCTTAAAAACTAATTGTAGTGTCTTGTTTTTTAATTACCTGGTACTGGTAGCAAAGCAGAAGAAAACTCCGACCAGAGATTATGTAGCATATTTCCTACAATTTTTTAACACTATCAGATTTTTAGCCTTTAGTGTGGAAGCTGCCTGCTTTACCTGTATTTTGTAAACCTGGAGTGATCTTTAGAGCAATTGGTTTTAGTACAACCTTCATCATCTAAAATACCAAACAAATCTAAGACATTTTTGGAGGGATTGTTTAAAATCAATCTCTGATATCTATTTAAACTAAAAACTATTTTGGATTTGTTAATACCTGTGTTTCATCCATAACCTTCTTCTCTACAATACAGATTGGACGTACTCCTGCTAAACTCTTCTTAGGTATAAACCTAATAAGTACATATTTTAAACTTTGATTTAGTAAAGCTCTTCGCCAATAATAGGAATATCATGAATTATTTTATTAAAGGGAGTGTCTGGTTAGACATGGTAGTTGAGCTAAGAATACAGTATATATTAATAATAATAATCGCTGTTAAACCTTCAATCTATGTTGTAGCGTTTAAGTTCCAATGAATCAACCCAGTTATGAGCTAAGTGTAAATTCAGAGGCGGGAGACAATTTTTTAGGATTCATATGAGACCTATAAGTCGGTTTGAACGCCGTACGGTGTATGATTATTCAGAATGAGTAAAAATTAAATCATTAAAATCCTCCTGGATTGACTAACCAGCCAAGCAGGCGTGCAGGGCCACAACCCGGCAGGTTGGACAATCTGAAGGATTTTAATGATTGAATTTTCACTCTTTCTGAATGATCATACAGCGTTCAAAAGTCTTTTTGGTCTCAAATGATTTATTGAAAAATCTCTACAATACCGTATTCACAGCTCAACTACAAAGTCAAGCCAGACACTCCCTTTAAGGACTATTTTATGAGACCAGAAAATAAATTAGAAATTTAAGATTGTAAGATCTGAGGATCTTTATAAACTAATGTGTGTTCAGGGTGTTCAGCGACAAGATGTTATTCAGTGTGTTCAACCAGGAATTATCTTCAAACAATCGATCAATCACACGGAACTCTACATGCACAGTTTTCTACANGTCATGCATATAATTAACCCTGGACTGATTTATTGTGTTTTCAGTTCACGGTTGAGTCCTGTATAAACTGCCTACCTGAAATATATACATAAGATTTAATCAGTGCAAATAGAGGTGAGCCGAAGAGAAAGAGTTCATGCTCGCTCTTATGTTTGTAGTTATTACCTGGTCTCCTATAGGTAAAAATGAGCACAAAGATTAGATAAAAGATTCTAATGTACCTCAAAATAGAGATGGAAGGAGGAACAACAGATTTGGATTGAAGAACGTGAAGCTTAGAAGATGAAATTGGGAGATATTTCGAGGATCTTTTTAGCTCAGCTAAACCTATGGAATTAACACACTCATTAGATATTTAACTTTATTTTTAATACCAAGGTCTTCTAGAAAGCCATTTTAGGAAGCGAAACTGATCCAGCCATATCATTTGTTCCTAAAAATCATTGTAACATACCCAAACTATCAAAATCTTACATTTTCCCCTGCATTTAGGGAAAAATGTACATTTGAGTGACTTGACCCTTGAATATTTTCTAACAATCTTCAATAGTTATGAACAAAATATTTAAAACAATTAAATGTTTTAAGCTAAAAACACCTGAAAACACAATTGATTGCCAGGCAGATTTTCTGAAGTAGAAAATTTTCTGTTTTCCATGAGATGCATCTGTTAGTTTGAAGAACCCCCTGACTATAGATTCCACCAATCTAGTCAGGATCCACTTCACCAGCTTAGCCAGCAAATTCAAGCTGAGAGACTTGTCTACACCAGTTAACCAAGGTACCTGGATCCAATTAGAAACATAATAAATGTCTTTAAAAGGACTGTAAGCATAATTTCAAGTGACCCTCCGAGCAAAGATGGAAAAGCCCGATTTACAAAGAAAATTTTTGGCTGATCAAATATGAATAAGATATCAATCTTTTTAATCCTTTAAACTGTTTATTTTCATTTGCGGTTTCTAATAATTAAGTCCATTGAGAATTGAACCAGGTTTCTTTTGAATGACCCTATCTTAGTAATAATAGTCACCTCCTGTAATCACTGAGATGTAATCTTTAAAAGGAAAGGGTCTTTTTGGACCACACACTTATTAAAATTGGTACTTAAAATCATTTAATCATACTCGTTAAATTGTTCGGGCAGTTTCTTTTAGAGGTAAGCATATTTTCTTGTAAAGGTTTTTTACCTCAGTAATTTGGAAGCCTTGAAGTAGAGTTCCAAGAGGTATTTCCATGTTTTTAGGTGAATTGAGGAAGAGACTAATTGAACGCATCAACATTCTAGCAGTAAAAATTCCATACTCATATTTTGTTGTTATATCAGGCAATATATAAAAATTATGGTGATGTCAGACTATGTATTATCTCCTAGATGAAGATTCTATTTTGTCATTAAAAATGTAAACTCAAACTAACCTTTTATTCCTTGTTGTTCCAACTAACTTCTGAATACCAATTTTATGAAGAACTGATCGAAGCAATGTAATAATCTTAATAAGCTCTGTGGCTCCAACCACCCTTGGACAGTGATGATCTGAATTCAATAGTTTAAATTTAAAATGATCCAGAAAACTGAAAAAAAAATTAAAGATGAACCTCTTAGTCTTGAAAGGGAAATCATATCATTGAGATTCATTGTTAACCATGAATGATATCAAAATTAAATACAGACCATCAACAAATTCAAGGAATTATCTTTAACATCTCGAGTAAATCTAAGACGTACCTACAAGAGCTTTCATGGAAACCTTCTGAAGTCGTTCAAAAACTGCCTGAAGAGGAAGAAGAAACGGTTTAGAAAATAAAACCTCTCTGCCAGATAAAAATTCAACTCCAACCTAATTGAAAAAAAAAAATTAAAAATAATCATTTACAAAGTTAATCCTCAAAAACACTGCATTTTAACTTTTAAAGGAAAATTGGACTATGGGAGAAATAAATGTTTAAGAAAATGACTCTAATTATTAAATAATGTTACTGTTGATTAAAAAAATTAACCTGCATAGCTAGAATTTCCTCCACAAACTTGAAACAATTCACTATTTCTGAACTATATTGACAAAATCTTAATCCTTGTTTAGAAATACATTTTAAAGAAACAAAGCTATCTTGTTAATTGCAGAGAAATTTAAGAGATCTAATTACAAGAAATTAATAATTAAACTTAATGATTCCAATGATTCCAATGATTCCAATGATTCCAATGATTCCAATGATTCCAATGATTCCAATGATTCCAATAATTTTAATGATTGCAATGATTGCAACGATTCCAACGATTTAATTCCTATGATTCCAATGATTCCATTATTCCAATGATTCCATTATTCCAATGATCCCGATGATTCCAATGATTCCAATGATTCCAATGATTCCAATAATTCCAATAATTCCAATGATTCCAATGATTCCGATGATTCTACTAATTCTAATAATTCCAATCTTTTTAAAAAATACATCAGGTTTAATGGATTTCCCTGTTATATATAAAATGTGGTGAAATCCTTTCTCTGAAACAGTTTTTATGAAGGTTCAATTTCCGTACTGAAGGATTTTGACAAAACATTTAAGAAAAGCTTATCCTTCAGAGCGTCAATACAAAATGAAGTGATTTGAACTGCCTGAAATTCAAGATAAATTAGGTTTTATAATTTAACGGGAGTGTGTATAAATTTTGGAATGTGGTATGCAATGCATACTACTAATAAGCATGATTAATTTGGGACATATTTCTATATCGGCCGACCAAAACTGGAGGTTATTTGAAACCATATTAAATATGGTTATTATTATTGGATTTATGCCAAATTTTCTACTTATTTCTAAGGAAATATTTTGCTGAAAAACATTAAAAAAGCTTTAAAATTGAATGAGAAAGAGCACTAAAACATGGGAAAAAACTCTTTCATGAAATGATATTTTTCTTAAACTTTATAAATGTTTATTATTTATGTATATGAAAAAAAATCCTTCCTATTGGTGATTTAAATTTCAAACTGGGCTTATGAGCTGTTCTCTTTTCTAAACAATTAAATACTGAAAAAAATATTAAAAATAATTATGGTAATACTATTATATTTAATGTTTAGAAGTTTGTAATAACAAATCAAAAATCAAACCTTTCAATAAAAGACTACTAGAAATTTAACTTTTAATCCCAAAAATGAAGTTTTATATCCATTAAAAAATTGTATATCCCTTAAATGTAACTTTTTTTCCATAAGAAAAAACTTAATATTCCTGAAAAAAAACTTGGTATCCGTAGAAAGATAGTTGATAGCCCTCAAAAGAAAGAATATTCATGACCTTAATTACCTATAGGTTCTTGATTTTGATTTTTTAACTTGGCAAGCTTTCGTCTTTCTCTCCTCTTCCTGTTCTTGCTTAACTGCTTTACACTAAAAACCCAATAGTGTGTTAAACGAGGGAGGGAATGCTTACTGTATTAAAATCTCATACGAGGAGAAAAACTGCCGGATGAGCCTTCCCTCTCTCGGTTAAAGTTATTCAGTAATTACCAAAAAACATTTAGCTAAATGGAAAATATTAATGGTTTAACAGGAAGCCAACTCTAAAATAAAAATCGAGCCTACAGGATGGGCAGCCGCTAAAAGCTAATTGCATCTCTGATAACAACAAATTAAGGGGAGTGACCGGCAAGGTACGGTAGTTGAACTGAGATTTCAGTAATATTGAGAAATCTTTTAGGATTCATTTGAGACCTATCAGACGTTTATACGGTGCATATTTGTTAAGCAAGAGCGCTAATGCAATCTTTAAAATTGTCCATTTGAAATTTGTTCGCAGATTTCATCAAATTATTCAAATGTCGTTTTTTTTTTCGATAAAAATTCTAGGAAATCTACAGAAAAAGGTGTTCAACAATGAGACATTACAGAAACCAATAACTGAGAAAGATTACTTATTGTCGATGATAAGAGTTTACTTTGATGTTCTCAACCTGTTCCTAAACAACTAATTACTTTACTGTAAAATTTTTACTATATTATTTGTGGTCGTCATTGAATAATTTAAATAAAACCGATTCTTAAAATCATCCCTCCAAATGGACGATCTATGAGGATTTTTAAGATTGCATTTGCGCTCTTGCTGAACAAATATGCACCATAAAAACGTCAAATGAATCCTAAAATTGTCTCAATAATACTGAAATCTTAGTTCAACTAACATACATTGCCGGTCACTCCCTCTAAGTGAATTCAAAAATAATCTTTGTCTAACAGAAAGACCAAAAGAAGACTTTATTTACAACGGTAGCCTGTAATCTATATCTTAGTTACAATGAGGAAAAATTCGTCATTTTTAAATCTTGAAATAAAGTTGAAATCTGTCCCAGACCCATATATTGGCAGGGCTTTTAAATTTTAGATAACCCATTCATAATAATTCATATCATTTTTTTCACACAGACAAACCATCATGAAAAAATTTTCAAAGACAAACCCCACAATCATCCAATTTTTTCCCAGGATAACCTTGCAATCATAAAATCTTTTTCCCATACAAAGGTTGGAAGTGTGCCACTATGCATCAAACACGTATGTAGGGTATCTTTAACATTCTTAACACAAGCATTAAACATAGTTTTCATTGACGTAAATCAATAATAACATTCAACACTTTTCATTACTCTACCTCTGATCATGATAGTTAACACCATCTTTAGGTGGAACAGCTTGAAGAATTCTTGTTGGTTTGTTTGCAACACCTTGAAGAATTGAAATTGGTCTTGTTGCAACATTTTCTAAAATTCTTCCAGTTTGTGTCACAAGATGCGATTCATTATTTTGAAGTTGGGTAAACCGTATCTCCATTTTCTAATCTGAAAAGATTTACTCTTTAGAAAAAGATCTAGAAACCAAGATGACAGTAAAAACATATCATTACGTTTACAAAAACAAACAATGCTAACAAGTTATTAAAAAGCATGTATAAATAGATATGATACAATTTTACACTTTTATATTTATACATATTTTCTTTCGAATTCATTTAGGACTTTTTTCCCTCCCTTAACCCCATAAAAAAAATTTCAACCAAAAATGTTGTTTTTTTAAATAAAAATAATTAACCTAAGTAAACATATAAATGAAAAAAACACGCATTAATTCAGAACTGTGGATTAAACAAAATAAATTAGATTAAAATTCAACAATAAAAATAAATGTACTTTAAAGGTATTTGCATCATTAATATCTATTTTTAAAGAATAAAATAAAATCATTAAAGTTAAAACTTTTTCTTTAAGTAAATATTGCCTGTTTTTGAGAATTTAAGAAAAACTATCATAATTATAATCATTATAAAGTATCAGACACAGAAAAAAAAAACGCAACTCAAATAAATAACTATCACAGAAACAAGCGAGCTAAAGATACGGAAACATTATGATTATTGATCAAACTCATTTTCTGATGAAATAAAATGAATTAAAAACTATTTGGAAAATTTAAAGATTTCATCCAGTTATCAACGTTGTTGATTAAAGGGATCTCCTGTTATACGAATACCATAACAATACAATAAAAAAATTTAATGGCTTTATTTAAAAACAAATGACGTGCACCCTCTGGATTAAAGTAAGAAAAAAATATTGTGAATTATTCATGGCATTCTGGAGATAATCTCTTTAAATGACCAGGACAAAGCATGTAACTTTAAATAACAGAAATGAGCTTGAAACTAAAAATATGAAATAAAGACTGCTGTCTGCTTCATACCCCTTGGTTTGGAAAATATCATCGCTCCGAAGAAACACTAAAAAAGTTTGCATTATTAACATTCAATTTATTGGCAGATCAAAGATATTTTAATTATGTTTGCTCCTTGTTAGATCGAAAAGTACGTTTGTATATATCCTCTCAGAAATCTCTCATTTGTGTGTAACAGGCATATTTGAGGAATAAGTTGTTTCAACTCGGAGAGTGGGAGGGGTAGGTGGGTTAATATACGAGATTTGAAAAAATTTTAAATAAAAATTCAACTTACGAGCTTTAAAACTTTTTTGATACCCACACAATTATTTCAAATTCAGTAAAACAAGCTAAAATTATTTATTAAAAAGGGGAAGGAGATTTTTTTCTGAAAATATCTACGAGTATGATAACCCCGCATTGCGTGGGTGGAGGGGGGGGGGCTCTCTACACCAATTTGTAATCATACCAAACAAATCAGCTTCGCAGCAAGTGTGCTCAAAAATTTGTAATCATATAGCACACAGTATACTACAGTAGACCGTACCTATCAGATGGTCAGGTCAAATCCTCATCTTCAGCCTCATCTTCGGATACCTCAACGTTGAGATCTCTCAGCCTTGTCTTGTACTTCACCATCTTTTCCTCCTGAAAAACAAATAAAATTGAATATACAATCAATCAATCATAAATAATAATTCTCGTCGATCAACAATTCTATCATTTATCAAATCTATTAATTGTTTCCCAAATTACTTAGTTAATGAATAATCACTCATTAAATCAACCAACCAACCAACCAACCAACCAACCAACCAACCAACCAACCAACCAACCAACCAACCAACCAACCAACCAACCAACCACTAAATCACTCAACTACCCATTTCTCCAAATACTTAACTAATAATAATAATAATAATAATAATAATACTTAACCAACCAATTTATCTTTTAAAAAAAGCTACCAAAGTGTAAACTGAAGTCAGAACTTTTGTGCTTGGGATCAAGCATTGATCTCATCTTGTGCAGATCAACGGATTGATTTAATTTGTCTTTGATATCCCTTGGTGGTCATACCCTACAGAGAACACTTGAATTGAGGAATCAAACATTGATAATCAAATTTAAAAGAACCCTAAAATGGATATCAAGCGCTTTATATTCACAATATCCACACAAAAGTTCTGATCTCTGTACATACAACATGGCTCGGCAGGAGATTCCTAAGAGGAATAGCGAGTACCACTTCTTTGAAGGTAAGCGCTATACAAAATTATGATGATACTAATTTTTAGACCTGATCTGCCAGCATAACAAGAAGATCCTCTTGTTCACTCTGCAGACCTTTCACCTTCTCCCTCTCCATCTCCATTTTCTCCTTGTACAGCTTCAAGTCTTCTTTCAAACTAGAACACATCCTTAGATTACAATTTTGTTTTCCACAAAGCCCAGGGTTTCCAACGCAAGTGCATTTTACTTGCGCACAATTCTATAATAATTGTGCGCAATAAACGCAATGGAATTGCGCATAATTGTGCGCTATAGCACACAAATTTGTCCATCTTTCTTGCGGTTGTGTTCCAATTTTTTGATAATATTTATGATTTAAACCTTGTGGCACGCAATAAATGCAATTAATTATTGGGCAATTCCACTCAACAAAAAAAATCAATTCATTCTCTTCAGTCTTACAGCGCAGCTATTCGAGTTTATACATATTTATTTTCTCTCAAGAATAGCCAAAAGTTTTTCAATATTTTCTTTATTTATAACTCCCTTAATAACACCTGGAGCTCATATACAATTCGACAACAATTAAATTTTTCTCTTAATTTAAAGTTAACCTCCATTGCTCTCAACTTTTTCAATTCACTTTGAAAAAGAAAGAGAAGAAATTTTCCAAATTAATTTAAAATTCAAGCATTCTTTTTCATTTAAGATTTTAATTTCAACTTAACTATCCTCTACTTCAGCTAAACAGAATTTTTTTTCATTTCAGCAATATGGGAAATCCCAAATAGAAACTGATCTGAGGACATGGTTTTCAAGGTTTAAACCAAATCTCCCCTGAACTTTATTCTGCCATTTATTGCAATGGACTTGGACCAGCTTCCTCCCAAACCCTCAATGCTTTCGGCTGGACTGGGAAAATAATTGGCGGAATAATTATCTGGTTTGGTCCAAAGAACCTCTCAATTGGAAGGGGCAGTTTCTTCATAAATGGTTTTCTTTTCTCTAGGGTGTGAATCATATATCAGGTATTCAGGAGGGGGGGTACATTTTACTGGGTTTCCTAATTCGTTAGGGAAACTGGACTTTCTTTTCAGATTTTGTTAAGGAGAATAGGGGGCTCTGGGCAAGCAGGAATTGGCAATTCCAAATCTTACAGTTTGATCTGCTCCCTGGGAGTAAATTCTTTCGCCCAAAGTATGGCTTGCCAGTACTGGACTCATGTAGAGAGAATGCACCATCATGGTACTGGACCAGTTGTCCATCTAACCTTGTGTACCTGGGCAAGTCTTATGGTGAACCCCGAGGAACTTAGAGCACTAGAAGTGGATTGCAGATTGGCTGGCAGTAGATAGTTTGGGGAGATCATGTGTGATCTTACAGAAGGTGCTAATATTGGCTGTAAGCATCCTTTTAGACAACCAACAACTAGCACTAAAGCACCCAGTAGCTACAAATTCGGACCTCATGTATCAGCATCCATTGCAGATTGGTTAAAGAAAGGTTTTGCTTATGGCCTGGTAGCGGTGGATGAAGTTCCTCCAGGAGTCAAGATTAACGGAATAATGTGCAAACAGAAACAAAATGACTCCGTCAGGATTATATTAAATTTGAGCTCTCCCATTGGAGCTTCAGTGAACAAAGGTATTTATGAACAGGACTTCCCTGCAACAATTTCCTCGTCCACCAAATGGAGCAGGGTGCTAAATAGTGCTGGTAGGGGATGTCTGATGGCCGGTCGGACGCCTATTAGCAGTCAGGAAGCAACACCTCCATCTACAATGGTTTTCTTGGCAGGGCATGGCTTTATGCGAACTGTGTCTAATGTTCAGTTCAAAGAGCAGCATAGGATCTTAAAGCTTCTTTCCTTCTCTTTCACAGGTTGGGGGACCACTGTGTTTATTTACATTGCTCTGAGAGAGTACAGTACACAAGTTGTGCACATTTGAGTTGGGTGTTCCTTGCCAGCACTAGTGAGAATATCCTCATCTAGCATCATCCATTTGACCTTGTTTGAAAACCCTCTAGTTTCAGGGGTCCATCTATATACATTGTACAGTATGGAATTTGTTCTATAACTTGACATCATACTTCCATTTGTTTACAACAACAGTTCATGGTTAATTTCTGCACCAAATATCAATCAATCAACAGTTGGGATCGTATTGGACAGAATTATATGGACCCATGCCTAGTTGCTCAGAGAAATGATAAAAATATATTCCCGACTTAATTGGTAACAATATCATGATCTAACTACTGCTCACTGGACATGTTGGCCAACTCAACATCTTGTCCATTTACTAACCTATTGAGAATAACCTTAACTAATGATGATCATTTAACAACCATTTGACGTCCTTTCAAAGTCTCTTCAACATCCCTTGGTTGCTAGGGAAGTTTCAAAAACAAAAATATATCCCTTACTTACTTGTTAAAAAGATCCTGATCTAACTGCTGCTGACTGGACATATTGACCAGCTCAACATCTCGTCTCTCCTTGTACTCCTCTAGCTCAGCAGTCAGCTCACGGACCTTACGCTCCAGTCCATCAACAACATTAGGACTTTAACAAATATCATGTTGCATTTAATTTCTATTTTTTCGTTCAGATTTATCTAAATTTTGACGGTTTGAACAGTGAGATCCATAAAGCTGTAAAATAGGACAAAATTGTTAAGACTCAAGTTATGATTTTAAATAGTTTAATTAACATGAACACACAACAATTGTTCAATGTACAGTGTTCACTTAATAAGTTGACTTATAAGCTACTGGTAAAACCATTTGCTTTTCAAAAACATCAAATATACATAATATTACTTAGATGTCATTTTCTCTTCCACAGTTTTATGTATCTAACTGTATAAGAGAATTTATAATTATTATCATGGATGATACATTTTTACATTAATCTTATAATCGATCATAAATATTAATAAGATGCCTTTAAAACATACCTTTAGTGCTACAAAGATCTACTGTTATCCAAGTAACAAACAAATATTTTCTGTGTCATTGTGAGCTTTTGAAAGTTTTTTGCGTTTGTAAATATCAGTTATCAATAAAAGAGATAAACTATGAAAAAAATAAACACTCCCTTGCAGTATACATTTTTCAGTACAAAATTGTTTCTACAACTTAACTGGTAGCGGAATCAGCACCTGACTGAGACCCTTACGTAGACAGCGGTCTGGGGATTCCACATTGGGGATCTTTCATAATCTTCTGCCCCGGATATCAATTAATCAATAATTGGGATCGCATTGGATGGAATTTTGCTAACACCTTCTCTTACCTTGTATAATGCTGAACCTCTCGTAGGTCTTCTAGATCATGCCGAGATTTAAACAGCTCAACCTGCAATGTAAAAGGCTATAAGAGGTTTGTTGAAATTGATCTTAAAAAATGTACTGAGTTATGGAAACAATCATTCCATGTAGATTTAGGAAAATTTCTGACGTTTTTGATGCATTTCCACTTGCAACTGGAGTTGATACTAAAAACAAAATACAAATCTCAAATCTTAAAATTCAAAAAGACCATTTGCACAAAATCACATTTGAATGATGGCTTTACATCTTCTTTACCCAAGTATGCAAGATAATGTTATTTCTAATTTTGTCTTTTTTTAGAAAGAAAAGGTTAAAAATGCCTTTAAAATTTACTGGACAAAAAAGGTACTTAATAGACATTTTTTTCATCCCAAAACCCTAAAAAGTTCAAAATCAGCATTAAGAAACTTTTAGAAATTTTTAAACTAAGATTTTAGTTGGAAAAAATGTACGGCTGAAGATTTTATACCTCAATTAAATCTCTTTCTTTTTTAAGTTCATTCAGTTCTTCTTCATGAGCATTTTTCATCCTGACAATCTCTCTCTCCTTGAGATCAATCTCGTATGTGTTCTCCACCTTGTTATGCGCCTCCAGCTCCATTGTTGTCATAAACATATTCTCAAACCTGAAAGAGATTGACAACTTATTTGAATATGTACTGAACACTGCACCTCTGGTCTGGAACTACCCCATCTTTCCGCACTTTAAGGAACAGTAGACGTAACTATAATTGACCACCCACTTATAGTTTGGCATGTCCAATTCACAACAGTACTCCTTAAAGTCTCTTTTTTAGAGAACCAGTCACAATAAAAAATAATTCATTTTAACATGGATATGCTGGATTCCCATTGAAACATTTACAATTGATGTGAGTATATAGTAAATAGTCTTCAACATAGTGGATTTCTATAAGCCCAAAGCTGACCCATTGAGATTTACAATTGATTGATTAATTCATTTATTGACTGATTGAATTTTTGACTGATTGATTATTTTGTTGTTTGTAAATATACTGACTGATGAAAAGATTCATAAATTGTTTAAATTGATCTATCTATTGATTGATTGATTGATTTGTTGATTGATTGATTGATTGGTTGGTTGTACCTGTCCCTAGGTGACCCAGGATTAAGCGGAAGATCATTTTTGAGTTTAAGAAGCTCCTCGTCCTTCTTCATCACCTGGCATCTCATCGTATCCAACTAGAAACAATGCCAAACTAATATCTGCCTACAGAGGTGAGACGACAGCCACACTCAAATAACCCCAGAGCAATCGACATCACTAACTAAAATTTCTTCCTAAGCTCTTGCTCAGACGTACTTTCAGAAATAATTATGTAACATTAATTGTGTTTCAAAAGACATTTCATTGCTAGTACCTTCCCCCCTCACCCTAAGCTACTTTAGATCGACCACTTTATACAATTATTTTTGCCTGTTACTGAAATGTAAACAAAGCAGCATTTTGATATAGTGGCTAACAACAACAAAAGTAAAAAAAATATAAACATAATGTTAGCAAATACTGTGGGTTAATACCTGGCTTCTCAACATCTGGATTGTAATAGCCTTGTTGTCGGGAAAAGAATCAGTCTGGCATTGACAATCCTTGAATAACAATAATTTTCAAATAGAATTTTAGAGACAACTCACTCTAAATTTCAATACCAAAATTTTGAGATTTGGAAATTAAGAATGGAAGTAAAATTTCAAATTGAAAACACAGAAAAATAACAAAAAATGAATTTTTTGAAGGGTAATTGATTAGTGATTACCTTGATTATTGGTTTTGGAGTGTCTTGAATAAAAGGTTGATAAAGATTTGCTCCAGTATCTGGAGTCTCCTCAGCTCCCAGTCTGGACTCCAACTCCTTAATATTATACAAATGTACTCCCAAGTCTAGCCTACACCTCCTACTCATACTCAAGCTCCTTCATATTATAAAGATTTGTTCCAGTTCCTTCATATCATAAAGATTTGGTCCATTTCCTTCAAATTTTAAAGATTAGCTCCAGTTCCTTCCTTAGTATTAAAAGAATTTGCTCCAGCTCCTTAATGCTAAACAGTATTACGTCAGCTCCTTAATATTATTACAGATTTGATTCAGTTTCTTAATATTTTACAGATTTACTCCAGCTTCTGAATTATATTACTGGTTAGATCCAGCTAATTAATATTTAAAGATTTTCTTCAGCTCCTTAAGTTTACACAGACTTACTACTTAACATGAAGTGAGTGGTCCAAACAGGCTCCCAGGCTCCCAAGTATTTAGAGCTCTCAATATTTAGAGGGAGTATCTGAAGGGTCTAATGATTTATTGGCTGATGACAGATAAAAACTTTTCCAAATTTATTAATTAATATTTGACAGATTTTATCCAAATTATTCATATTATACAGTCTGCTCACGCTCCTCAACATAAAAACTATTTGCTCCATTTAATCAGTCTTACTTCAGCTACTTTATATTATAAATGCTGGGTGAGTCAAAAAAAGCGTGATTATCTTCAAGGATCCCCATGCACAGCAAACGTTCAAACAGAAATTGTTGCCACAAAAAAATTCTGGTTTACAGTCTTATTTTATAAAACAAGAATTGATGTGGATTCATGGACATTTAGTTAAGTTATACATTGATTTTGGATCATTTCTACCTACTCTTTTATGGTAAAGTTTCATGGTTTCAGATTTATATAAGGCCTTTTCTTGCTCATTTCAGATGTAGACTTAGGAACTGGTAGCAAAATAGAAGGAAGCATTGGTTTCAAGAAGGTAGTCTCCCTTTGGAGCTAAGTATAATTCTGTGTAGAGGTAGATTATTAGAGCAAGGATATGCTAAATTATAGAATGATACATTTTCAGTTAGGATGGAAGGCAAATTTAAGTGTACTGATGGAAAGGGGGGAGAGGGAGAAAAGTGGGCAAATTATTTGAGCATGAAGTGACTCTTTGCTTATGATAAAGTCAAGCTGGCTAATGAATGGGGTATATTGAGCATGAAGTGACTCTTTGCTTATAATAAAGTCAAGCTGGCTAATGAATGGGGTATATTGAACATGAAGTGACTCTTTGCTAATAATAAAGTCAAGCTGGCTAATGAATGGGGTATATTGAGCATGAAGTGACTCTTTGCTTGTAATAAAGTCAAGCTGGCTAATGAATGGGGTATATTGAGCATGAAGTGACTCTTTGATTATAATAAAGTCAAGCTGGCTAATAAATGGGGTATAACATGGAACCCTTCTGAAAAGGCAGAAATTTTTATAGCGTGGTAAAGAGAAGGATCACAGCAATTGAGGAAGGGAAAACCAATCAAGTTTTTTAATTTGATAATGTAGTATTTATATTAAGTATAATAAAGGAAATTGTTATGAACAAATAATATACCTGAATATATTCGTCTTGCTGCTGAAGCTGTTTTCTCAGCCCTTCGACCTCAGCGTCAGTCTGGGAGGGACCATTTCTTTTAGGAAAAATTAAATATTTGTTGATAAAAAAAAATTGGGAATTTTTTTTGAAAATATTGTGAATGGAGATGTGTTACTTAATTAAATTAGAATTTTAGGGATGTCATACAGTCGCATCCCAGTCCCAAATCAATATACTAAATCAGGACCTAATTAAAACTTGAAATGGAATGTTAAAATGTTGTTTTGTAATGGTTGGAAATTAATTATCAAATATCATTAGTTTATTATGCAATGATTATTTTAAATATATTCTAATGAATAAAATGCAATTATCATTAATTTTCATTCCTTAGGTCCATAGAAGTAAATGGTTTGGAAGATGTAGCTGCATTCATTACTTGAGCCTGAAACATATTTTTTATCCATCAATCATCAAAGCGGGGTAAATCTTTTTAAAAGTTGACCCTCAGTCCCCCCCCCTCAGAAATCACTTTTCCCCATAAATAATTGTTTGCCAAACATTGGTCTTAAACTTATTTAACATATTTAAACCGAGTTGCTTTCAGTTAATTAATTTTAAGCATCAGTTTCAGGTTTATCAACTTAAAGCCAATGATTTCTAGCTTGAGACTGGATCTAATAAATTTGAGCCAGGTCTAGAGACGGTTCAACCCAGTATCTTGAATCAGTATTCCGGATTTGTCCATGTCCCATAAATGATAACTACACTGCATCACAACAGATTTGTATTTGAATCGATAGTTAATCGCCTTAGCTCAATTTCATTAAATTCAGTCCCTGGACAACTTAAAGGAAACCATTAAAAATGTTGGTTTGGTCAACTGAATCTGATCTGGGGTAATTATGAAATAATTTAACCTGAAGGATTGCATTCTGATCTTTAATCTGCTGAACTACACCAGTTAACTCCTCATATCTAGCCTGATTTGTAACAATGTTTTTCTTTAGATTTTTTAGATTCATGTAAAGACATTTTTATAAAAAATAAAGGCTTACAAATATTTACCTGGAGGGAAGTGTACTCTGTGTGAAGAACTTTGTTTGCATCAATGTACTCCTAAATCAATAATAAATGTACTCCTAAATCAATAATAAATGTACTCCTAAATCAATAATAAATGTACTCCTAAATCAATAATAAATGTACTCCTAAATCAATAATAAATGAAATAAAAGTAAATAAATTAATGGACTTTGAGTTATACAAGTGACCCATTCAAATCTCTTTAAAACTTTTGTCTTTACAAAAATAAGCAAAAAAAGTTTTTTAATTTTTAATTTAAGTTTCTTTTTTTAAGTGGCTCAGAGAAACTGTTAAATTTAAATGGAGGTTCAAGGTAGGAGAAATTGTACTGGGGAAAACAAACAGATTTGCAGTGTCCTAAGTTACCTTCATTTTAGTATCCTGATCTCTGATAAATACTTTATAGTTCTCCAGAGCTGCATGGGTAGATGCATCCAGGGGTCCAGTTCCATTCAAGAGCACTGCTGATCTTCGGTTCCCTATAAGTAATGCATAGGATCATGAACTAGATTCATGACTCCCTGGATTAGGATCTTGATTGAAATGGCAAAATATCAACCAAAACAGACATAATCACACATATAATTGGGCACTGATTTGTTTACAAATTGCGGCCTTGATTTATTTATTATTCATGGCAATTGATCATAAAAAAACTTCCATTGTATTCCTATTTGTGGAATAAACTGTATAATTTAAACAAACTTCCCATTATATACTGAAGAAAAGTAACAGCCAAAATCAACACAGGAAAATAAGCAGAGATTAACAAAAAAAAAAGATGATGCAACTTTCTGTTGTGGCTTTAGTGTGGTTGTTTTCTGTTTAACTAATTTAGTCTTTGTTGTTGTACTATAGTTGTTTTTCTTATATGCTAATTGCAATGTTTTTAAAAAATAAACATACATTGCCCCCTCCCCCACAAACTCAAAACTCGTATTTTCGTATCCTAACCCCTTCCCCCCCACCCATCCCCCAACCTTTAATTCAATGAACATTTCTTTCAGTTTTGACAATACCACCATTCTTTAAGGTTGACCATAATTTTTACACTTTTCATTTTTTCATTCCACTTCAAAAAAACCCCCCTCCCCTAATTTGCTTACTTTTTTTATAAATTTCTAGAAAGTTATTTGTTACATTATCTTTATTTTTAATTTGTAATAATTTTGGTCATTTTCTGTAGGACTGAAAAGGATATAAAATATATCGAAATTTATTTCCAACCCCGAGTTTTTCTACCTGTGAGAGTAAAACCTTTTTTGCCAGTTTGGACAATTTACAGAGATTATCAATAACACGTTGAGCACTAACCTATAATATTCGTAACATCTCTGTCAAGTGACCTAAAGAGGGCACAGAAATGGTTGTCAACAGTTAACTCAGAGATGTTGTTGCAGCGAAGTTGCGGTGATTTCAATGCCTGAAATTAATATAATGGCTCAGCTTTGATATTTGAAGCAGAAGCTTAGCTTTTAAATTGAACTAGTCAGCTTTAATTGACTATCTGCATATCCTTAATTTAATATTTCAATGTTTCAGAATATCTAGTGCTAGTATCTTTTTCATAAAATTGGTTTTACGAGGGAGGGAAGGCACAAAACTTCACATATTTTTACCGGACCGCAAATTACGTCACACTAAGCGCTTCTCGGGATTATTCTCACTTGCCTTTCTTCGACACAGCCCCAATTTCTCACATATGATTTGTGACGACATTGGTGGTGCGGTAGAAAACATTAGTGCGCCTCCTTCCCCCCTTCCCTACCTTATTAAAGCACTGCCTAACCTTATTAAAGCTCTCATGTTTTGGAATATCTGCTATTTTATCCAGAAATTGATCTGCTCCGACCCTCTTCTCAACTAATCCAACCAGTTTAATTCTCAAATAGTTAGAATGAGGAGAAAATTTATAAGGGGACTGTCGACATAACTTCGAGTGACCCTTTGTTTAATGATTTCAGATGTCAGATGTCAGATGTCAGATGTCAGATGTAAGATGTCAGATGCACAAAGGTACCCTTAAAACCTTTGTCTTAGTAAAACTGAGAAAGATATCCTCGTTGTAAATTTAAAAAGGGATTAGTCATTCTGAATTGGAAGTAAAAATAGGAAATAATAATAATCTGAAAATTTGGTGAAATCTGTATTGGTTTTCTTTGCCTAATGAAATGAGGTCTTCTTGAGTTGATCCCGGCACTGTGTTCTTATTGTAGATAATACATAGTCCTTAAACAATATAGTCGCTTAAGCGTAATTTCAAGTGACCCTCAATGCAATAACGACCATGCCCGATTTACAATGGTACTATTAAAAGCTTTGTCTAGTCAAATTCCCAGGGGCGACAAATTCCTAAGGGTGACAATTTTCCATGTGGCAACTTTCCAAATGTGCAATTTCCCGAGCGGTAACTTCACAAGATTAGGTTAGGCCTTCTGAGGCGACCCAGTCTACAATGTGGGCCGAGCTCTGCGACTCGAATGGGCTAGTGGGCTCATAGTACAGACTTGGGAAATTGCACACGAGGGAAGTTTCCACTTGGAAAAAATCATTAATTAATCATTTTTCCAAATTATTAAATATTACCTAATAAAAAGGCACAAATGCCATGACCCAAGCGTTCTGTCTCGTCGTGCTCATTTGAACAAATTTGAGCCATAAAGAATGCTACAGCACCATCCATCTAAATAATAGAAAATTATTTTCACTATCAATAATTTAAAAACTAGTTATAATATAATCTAATGTAGGAACGTTTGGAACTTTAATCTGATCAGAACTAGATAATTAGTAACTCTAGTGGTCCGAGGGATTATGTAATTCTTTTCGTAAGCAATAGCCAATAGGAGATCGCGAAAAATACGAGTCAGCTGGTTTTTATGGATTAAAACCCTATCCCTTAAAGAAGTTTCCGGTGTGAATATTAAGAAGTTCCAATCACTCTCAAGAGTGACAATCAATATACCTGTAAAAGTATAGAAACTGCCATAGGACACTCAGTAACCCACTCACATAACATCTGAAGAATACCCAACCTGGACGCAAAACCTTTCTAGTAAAGAAACAAGAAAGCAAGTGTCATTGAATGATTAACATCCTTATGCAATCAGTCAATAAATCAATCAATTTTAACACATAATGAAGTCTTATTAGGAAATTTGGTGAATTGTGAGGCTAATTATGTGCTGTTAAAATCACAGAAAAAAATAAGAAAGTAGACTATTTTACTGAAGTTATGCAATATTATTTTAACAACGACTTTTGACATAAAATATAAGATATCAAAGACGATATCTCTATTATCATGTTTCATAGGACAATTGTAAATAAATGTTAGACTAATTGAATTGTTAATAAAAAGGTTTTCCTGGCAGAAATGGAGGCATTATGCTGCAGCAGTGTAACACACTGGGTTAATAACGATACAGGTCCGCTCCCACCCTGAACAAAATCAAATTAAAGTGAGTGTTTGCAAAAAAAGAGAAAGGAATTATTCTTAAATTATGAATTAATTGGTAAGACTTTATTCGAATTTTTTTAGTGTGAAGTCTTTGATGTAGACAATAATCAAATCAGGAACTTAATTCATTTTCTTTTGAAAAAATCCTTAAGTATGCCTGATAAAAATTTGTATAACCTGGGTTGCAAGTTGGACCCTTAGAAGTTCTTCTTTTAATTTAGGAGATCCAGAGACAACCTGCTCAGTCCATCATGTTAAAATAATGATAAAAAAGAAATATTATATTGAACAAAAGGGCATAAAGAAAATGGCGGTAAAATTAATATCATAAATAAAATGACGGTGAAACAAATTTAATGAACAAAAGAACAAAATGGGGATAATATGAATTTTAAAAACAATGCTGGAGAAATGTATATTATGCACAAATTGGCGGCAAAATGATGTTCATCAACAAAATGGTAGTAAACAAATTCAAAAAATAAAATGGCGATTAAATTAATTTCATGAAATAAATTTTATCAATAAAATGACAATCAAGTCGGGTAAAGAAACAAAGTTGTGCGGCAAAATGAAGAGCAAAATGGCAGTGAACTCAAGTTTACGAACAAAATGGCGGAAAAATTAATTTCATGAACAATATGGCGGTAAATCATAAATATATCATAATTAATGGCGGCCTTCCTGTGATAGGGCTACAGCACACAGCCAGTTAGAAACAGAGTCATTCGAGAACAAGCCTCCACAAATCAATTGCCCACAAGACACATCTAATATTAGAATAAAAAATCAATTATTCTATAATTTATTGATTGAGAGTCACATCTAATTTTTGTTGTAAGTTTTTAAAATGTGTGAAATTTTTTTTCCAATAATCTGAAATTTTAAAATTAGAAAATAGAGTAAAAATTTCGTCAAAACTTTAATTTTTTTAGTAGAGGTTTTAGAGAAAATCTGCCAACCCCTTCTCTCGAACACAAAAGTCATCAGTAGTTACCTATCATATCCTCCCGGGGCAGGAGGGATTCAACCATCATTGCTTGCCCTCCAGTGTTCTTGTGAAGAAAAGACTATTTAAAAAACTCTTCTCCAAATGTTCTATGTTCATTGTTCAGGAAAAAAAAGGTCAGCAAAATTCTACATCTATATATATATATAAAGTAGTAACCTCTGTTTATTTATTTTTTTTTATCGATTTTGATGGTTATTATATCGTTAGAACTGACGAGGGTCAACCCAGACCGAAATATATTTTCAATAAATGTGGAACTAACATCTACTTTTTTACTCTACAGAGGTTTGGTCCATCACCATCACTGAATTTTAAAAATAATCTCTGTTTGTTTGTTTATCCGACCATAACTCAGGAACCCCTCGACCGATTGGCCTAAAATTGGGAAATTTGGTTGAACCATGGGAATCTTCTTTGTTTAGCTGGGTTCCTTGGCTTTCTGACAAAAAGTAACGGTAATTCTGTCATTCAGGACAATCTTTGTGGCTAAAAAAATAATTTTTAAAAATGAGTAATTTGAGAAATTTCAAAAAGTTGAACAATCCCTTTAAAAAGAGAAGAAATTTTCCTGAACACAGTAGAGCACAGAGCAGCGGAGGGAGAAGGGTTGCTTCTCGTTTACCATCGACATGAGGAGGAGGACTAGGATGGGTCGAGGAGGGTCAGAAGGAGCAGCTACATTTATAAACTGGGACTGCAAATATAGAGTTACAGTGCTATTCTAAGTAAACCGCAATACTATTAATTAATCTAAGACTTGACCTTTGACATCAGTAATAGTTTGCAGCATTCAATATGGGCAAAAAAAATGTCCTAGCTAGAATGTAATTTCTCAAAATCATTAACCCCCCCCCCCCATTATGTTTTACTATTCACCAATTTCTTAGTTTTTACCTGGTTCTCATTGTTCCCCCGGATAAGCTCTGAGATGGTATTGATGGCCTCCGTGAGAACATCGGCCGGGATACCGGAGGCCAACAAAATATCCTCCAGGTGACTCAGAACACCTCCCTGAAATCAATCAATTGTAGTAAAAAAAAAGTATTGATAAAGAGAGGAAATAAGTCATGTTACAATTAAATGTTCACTAAATCAATTAAATTTTAACAAATCAATTAGTATCACAAAATCAATTAAATGTTCACTAAATCATATAAATGTTCACTATATCATTTGAATGTTTAATAAATCAATTAACTGTTCACTAAATCAATTAAATGTTCACTATATCATTTGAATGTTCACTAAATCATTTAAATGTTAATTTCATGAATTAAATGTTCACTAAATCAATTAAATTTTAACAAATCAATTAGTATCACAAAATCAATTAAATGTTCACTAAATCATATAAATGTTCACTATATCATTTGAATGTTCACTAAATCAATTAACTGTTCACTAAATCAATTAAATGTTCACTATATCATTTGAATGTTCACTAAATCATTTAAATGTTAATTTCATGAATTAAATGTTCACTAAATCAATTAAATGTTCACTAAATAAATTAAATCTATAGAATAAAACAAGACATTCATATATATGTTGCCTATAGCCGGCTAAACAGTTGGGCCGAATGGGCTGAAATTTGTTGTAGACACTCATGGGTGGCCGGGGGGTGTTATAGGCTAAAAAAAATTGAAATTTAATTTTTTCATTTTTAATATGTTTTTTCCCGCGCTAGTGTTCACCAAATCAACTAAATTTTCACCAAATCAATTAAATGTTCACTAAACCAATTAAATGTTCACTAAACCAATTAAGTGTTCACTAAACCAATTAAATGTTCACTAAACCAATTAAATGTTCACTAAACCAATTAAATGTTCACTAAACCAATCAAATGTTCATAAAATCAATTGAATGTTCACTAAACCAATTAAATGTTCATAAAATCAATTGGATGTTCACTAAACCAATTAAATGTTCACTGAATCAATTAATTGTTAACTGAATCAATTAAATGTTCACTAAATCAACTAGATGTTCACTATATCAATTAAATGTTCACTAAATTAATAAAATGTTTACTAAATTAATTAAATGTTCACTAAGACAATTAAATGTTCACTAAATCAAATAGATGTTCACTAACTCAATTAGATATTCACTGAATCATTTAATTGTTCACCATATTTTTTTTATTATTATATGAATCAAGTAAATGTTCACTAAATCAAGTAAATGTTCACTAAATCAATCAAATGTTCATTAAATCAATTGAATGTTTACTAAATCAATTAAATGTTCACTAAATCAATTAAATATTCACTTTATGAAGTAAATATTCATTATATTAATAAAATGTTCACTAAATCAATTAAATGTTAACTAAAGTAATTAAATGGTCACTAAATCCATTAAATGTTCACTAAATCAATTAAATGTTCACTAAATCAATTAAATGTTCACTAAATCAATTAGACGTTTACTAAATCAATTAAACGTTAACTAAATACATCAAATGTTCACTAAATCAATTAGATATTACTGAATCAATAAGATGTGCCCTAAATCAATTAGATGTCTTCTAAATCAGTTAGATAACAACTAAATCAATTAGATGTGCCCTAAATTAATGAGGGCCCGGAATACCTGTTTGCAGGCCAATTGACAAGCCATAGTTATCTGATGAGGATTAGAAGGAGAAACCAAGGTCCTTCAAACAAAAACCATTAGTAAACTATTATTCTAAAGGGACTGTTGCCCTAATTTAATGTGAATCTCCATTTTAAATGCATTAATTAATAAATTTGAATTTCGGTTTCTTTGTTAAAGTGACATGCAGATTTATGCAACACAGGCAATGAATGAAATTGATAACATTTTAGTATTTTCCAGATAACAATGATTATTTCTGTTATTCTAGACTAGAAAAAGGTTCACAGGGTAGCGTGAATATAATTCTTTCCTAGGTGGGTCCCTTTACGCTATAAAGAATGTATTTAAATTGATTGATAAAATAGTCAAAACAAATTTCTATTTTGTTTTATTATAAAATCTAATGAAAATAAATTTCTGGAATTACCACTGTGAATATAAACCCCTCTGATTTTACCTTATTAATTGAAGAATGTGAAGCATATTGGACACTTTCTGGGCATCCCAGCCGTACTCAGTTACCTCGTCTGTATACAAACAATCAATTAGAGAAAAAATCAATCAATCAATAAACTAATGAATATATCGATAAACAATCATAAACCAATCAATCAATAAACTAATTTAATATATCGATAAACAATCATAAACCAATCAATTAATAAACTAATGCATATATCGATGAATATAACAGTCAATCAATCAATAAATCAATCAATAAACCAATCAATCAATAAACTAATGAATATATCGATGAATATAACAATCAATCAATCAATCAATCAATCAATCAATCAATCAATCAATCAATCAATGAACCAATTAATCAATAAACCAATAATCATTGACTCACTCAGTCGATAATTTTCTCAATCAATCTATCATTTTTTTTTAAATCCGATCAAAAACCAATTTTTTTAAAGTCAAATCAATAATTTACACTAAATAAGAATCGCATGCATGAAAATGTATTTATTAAATAAAGATGATTACCTGAATCTGTGAGTGAGGGCAGAAGCCTGGCAATATAGCTTCCTTCCTAAAAAAGTAAAAGCATTGAAGAGTTATTCAGGCGTTTAAAAATAGTTTATTTTTGATTTTTCCTTTCTTTTAAAGAAAATAAGTAACTATAGATTTCGAAAAATTGGTAAAAGTTGGGGTGCCTTAACTTTAATATAATTTTTTAAAAATGTTCAAATAAAAATTCAAATCAGAACTTTTGTTAGGAAATTTTTAAATTTTACCGTTTGAATTGGATATGGGAGCATATTTATATTTAAGGAGCAAGGCTTGATCCTTGCAAAAGATAACCATCACGGGACAATGAAGAGGAATTAATAAAACTGAGATCAATATATTAATATACAATTTAACACAGGATATCCATTTTCATTTTCATGCCAAAAAAAATTTCAAACCTTGAAAAAAGTTTGATTTGATGGATTATTCCGGAGAAGGTTCAACATCAGCCTCAGACAATCCTCAACAACTATACCTAGAATAGGTTTAATATCAACCTCAGACAATCCTCTACAATTATACCTAGAATAAGTTTAATATTAACCTCAGACAATCCTCTACAACTATACCTAGAATAGGTTCAACATCAGCCTCAGACAATCCTCAACAACTATACCTAGTATTAGTAGGTTTAATATAAACCTCAGACAAGCCTCTACAACTATACCTAGAATAGGTTTAATATTAACCTCAGACAAGCCTCTACAACTATACCTAGAATTATTTTTAAATCAAAAGTAACATTTATAATTCACACAACCATAGAAGATAAACAAATCAAATCAAATCAAATCAAATCAAATCAAATCAAATCAAATCAAATCAAATCAAATCAAATCAAATCAAATCAAATCAAATCAAATCAAATCAAATCAAATCAAATCAAATCAAATCAAATCAAATCAAATCAAATCAAATCAAATCAAATCGATAAAATCTTTGATCAAATCTTTGAATTAAACTTTGATCCTATCTTTGATTAAATCTTCTATCACATCTTCGATCAACTCTTTAACCAATAAATCAATTGATAAATAATTTACCTCCATCCGTCCATCCCTCAAACTCCATAATCTCCATCAGTTTGTCGAAAGCGTTCTCAAAAGCGACTACCATTATGGTAAAGCTCATTTTGAATAGTTTAAAACATTAGCAAAAAATATTTATAAATCATTTAATAAAATAGTTTGTTTTTGTTGTAGATAACATTTATTGATATCCAACGAAAAGTAATAAATTCACAAAAAAACCAAACAGAAATATTCAGCTTATAATAATTTACAAAATTGAAGATTTTATGATACAATAAAATAAAAAAAAATATAAAATAAATCAAATGATAAAATCAATCCATTAAATGATAAATCATACAATCAAATAATAAATCATACAAATAATAAATCAATCAAATCAAATAACAAATCAATCAATCAAATGATAAGTAAATCAACTATCTAAAGAGCATTTTCCTATTTTCTGAATGTTCGAGTTTCCTGAAAATAAGAAAACATTTACGTAAAACTCAAAACCAAAAAGATGTCTTCATGCGAATTTATTCAAATAAAGCATGTTTCACAGTTTGATGCTTATTGCTTAAAATTAATTATGAGCCACTTGTATTATGCAGTATTATGCAGTATTTTTCAACCAAAGATAAATTTACATTTATAACGGTCGCAGACCTTTTAGTCCTCGACCGACACAATTAAAAAAATATTTTTTTTAGATAAAATTAAAATGTCGAAATACATAATTATCATTTTTTTGTGTTTACTTGGATTTCTAGAGAATTTGAGAATAATAAAGAAATGAAGAGGAGTATACCTTTTGTCAGTTTGAAGAGAAGAATCAGAGAATCATTTCTTAAAACTTCTCTCGTCTCCCCCAGGACATCCATCAGTTTGGATACACCTTTAGCATTATCATTTTACTACTTTTCCCCCCATTTTCCTCCTTCTTTCTTTTTCCCATTTACTATTCCTATTCTCATTTCCTATTCCTTTTCCCCTATCACTACCATTTACTATTCCTATTCTCATTTCCTATTCCATTTCCTATTCCTTTTCCCCTATCACTCCCATTTACTATGCCTTTTCTCATTTCCTATTCCATTTCATATTCCTTTTCCCCTATCACTCCCATTTACTATTCATTTTCCCCTATCACTCCCATTTACTATTCCTTTTCTCATTTCCTATTCCATTTCATATTCCTTTTCCCCTATCACTCCCATTTACTATTCCTTTTCCCCTATCACTCCCATTTACTATTCCTTTTCCCCTATCACCCCCCTTTTAACACTCTTATTCCCTAATCCACCCCCGCCCCCATTTCTGTTCCAACTCTTTGTACGTATTGCCCACCTGCCCCGCCAACCGCTTTTCTTTTCCAATTTCCCTGTCCTTTTGTACTCTAAAACACAGTGTAATAACATAAAGCTAATTTGACATTATATCAGGATAAAATTCACCATGAAGTAATCTTTAAAATTACACAATAGTTAATGTCACTTACTACATATTGTGTCACTGTAGTAAATATGCACCTGGAATGTACATTATGTCCCTGTTGTATGTATTATGTACCTGTATGACTGTTTAAGATCTGCTGTTGGATCATCCTGGGACAGTTAGAGAGAAGGAAGTTTAGAGCAGCCAGGGTTGGTCGCCTACAGGTAAAATAGTTTGGTACAGTCATGATTACATTGAGTTGGAATTTATCTAAAATTAATCAGACAAATTTTTGAAATATTTTACGGCATTCATTTGCCAATCTGGTTTTGCATAAACTTGAAAGTTGATTATAAACTTGTAAAGTCAAGTCAATTATTAACTTGTAAGGTCGATTATAAACTTGTAAGGTCGATTATAAACTTACCAGGAATGTGAGAAGAAGGGTGAGGTTCTCTTCATCCTTTAGAAACATTTCAGAAAATCCTTCTCCTACTCCTAAACATTAAGTATAATTTACAGAATTCTAGCAAACACTTCTCCTACTCCTAAACATCAAATATTATTTACAGAATTCTAGAAATCTAGGAGTTTTATACGGGCGTTCGCGCCACTTTTTTTCATGATAATTTTTACTTTTAAATATCACTTTAAAAAAAAATTTCACATTCCCTTGGTAGACTTACTCGAAAAAATTATATCGAATTTTGTCAATGGCTGAATATAAATTCTGACCGGCCACCAACCTTTTTAGGGAACATTTGGGCCCAATCAAGGAACAGTAGGAAAATCTCTTAAATTACCAACCTGTAAAGTCGTCTCGTTGGTTTTCAGGGATAACTTCTTCGTCGAATTCCTCAGGAGAAAATATATTGGACAATGTTTCCAAGACATAGCTGAAAAATAAAGAATTAATATTTTATACGGAGAATAAGGGCAGGGAAAAGAAGGGGGGAGAAGAGAAGGTGAAGGAAGAACGTTAATTCCTGAATGTTAAGGGGCAGGGGAGAAGGGTATATATTTACTTTTTAGATATTACTGATAACCAAAAGATAGTTTAAAAAAGAACAATTGTTTTAATTATTCAATAAGAGTAAAGATGGAGGGCCCAACCTTTAATAGGGGG